GGGTAACAAGAGCGAAACTCCGTCTCAAAAAAAAAAAAAAAAAAAAATTCCCACGGCTTTGGCGCTTGCACTCACTGCGCCCCCTGCTGGTCGGATACCGCTACTGATGCCAAGCGTTGAAAATGTACAGGAGGTCCAATGAGGTGGCAAACTGCTGCCTCTGACCTCATTAGCTTGGGCATGAGGTCTGGGGGCTCTAGGTAATGAACAGGCCTCACGGTGGAGCGATCTTTGTTCTACCCTGAGTCACCCCATGTCACATACGAGGCTCTGATTCATGTCAGTAAGAGTAGGTGGTTAGCAAGCAAAAAATGAGCAAATGCTAAGTCACAGAGAAGGAAGAAAGTGATAAATGACATCAGTATAGGAGCTGAGGGGGCACAGAGAAGGAGTGACACACACACACCCTCACTGCAACACTAATAGTCTCAAATTGCTAAGAATTTAACCAGATATAGCCTCAAAAATCTCAAGTGGTTTTCTTTGACAGCTTGGATGTCACATTTAGTAGACATAAGTCCTGTTTAACTCAGTGCAAAGAACTGGAAGCAATCATATCACTGTCAGTGGTGGCTGGAGATATGGACTAGCAGAGGCTAATGTAGTGATGAGGTAGAAGTGGGAATGGGAATTGCACAAAATCACCAGGCTGGGCTGGGTCAAGCCACAGTTCACCAGCAAGTGCACTGGGCAAGTTACTTTCTCTCTGGCCTTAATTTTCCTTCCTTCCTTCCCTCCCTCCCTTCCTTCCTTCCTTCCTTCCTTCCTTCCTTCCTTCCTTCCTTCCTTCCTTCCCTCCCTCCCTCCCTTCCTCCTTTCTCCTTTCCTTTCCTTTATTTCCTCTCCTTCTGTGTTAAATCATGCTGGAGTGTAATGGCATGATCTCAGCTCATTGCAACTTCTGCCTCCTGAATTCAAGCAATTCTGGTGCTTCAGCCTCCCAAGTAAAAGAGATTACAAGCATGTGCCACCACACCCAGCCTATTTTTTTTTTTCTTTGTATTTTTAATAGAGACCGGGTTCGCTATGTTGGCCTTGCTGGTTTCGAACTCCTGGCTTCAAGTGATCCACCAGCCTCAGCCTCTCAAATTGCTGGGTCAGGGTGAGCCACTACAGCCAGCCTCTCCGGCCTTAATTTTCACATGCTTAGGATAAAAGAGTAGACCTCCAAGATCTTGAAGCTTTCTTCCTGTTGCTTGAGGAAGATATTGAGAATCTACATGAAATCTATTAGCACATTTGTGATTTTATTGAAATAGCTTCTGTTTTCTTAGTGATATTATTCCAAAGAGAGAGTCAATGTACTATTCAGGGTGAGGGTAGGGGACTAATAAAAAGACACAGTGGTCTAAGAAGATGAAGTGTGTTGTTCTCTGCTTACATTAGCTAGGACTCAGACATTCTGAATTAGTGAGTCTTCTTTCTTCGGAGCTATCCTATAGCTAATTTCAGTCCTGTTCCTTTCTCATTAATAGTTGTACTACATTTCAGATGGTTCCGCTCAAACATGCTCGTATAGAATGAATTCTTTCTTTTTGAGATGGAGTCTCGCTTTTTTGCTCAGGCTGGAGTGAAGCAGCAAATTTTGGCTCACTGCAACCCCCGCCCGGCACGTTCAAGCGATCAACTTCCTGAGTAGTTGGGATTACAGGAACGCACCACCATGCCTGGCTAATTTTTATATTTTTAGTAGAGATGGGGTTTCCCATGTTGGCCAGGCTGGTCTCAAACTCCTGACCTCGGGTGATCCACCCGCCTTGGCCTCAGAAAGTGCTGGTATTACAGACATGAGCCACTGCGCCCAGCCTAGAGTGAATTTATGATCATAAGACTTTTCCCTTTAAACTGTGGGATAGAAATAGTCTACTTGTCTTTGCCTTATTTAGTTGCAGGAAAAGTGAGGAGCTGAAACTAAACTACACTAAAAAAA